CGAGTCACATTAGTATTTCAAATTTGAGAGCTAGCCTATTATAATCTCATCTCTATAGCAAATATTTCAAAATAGAAACTATACTCAGAGGTCTGCTATAAATACACAGAGAAAAACTGATCTCGGGTGGGTGACCCCCACAGGATACAGGGAACCTCCAAATGACATAGGGAAAAATGATCTCATGACCTTACCTGGATGAGTTTGTATTCCCTAAAACTGAACAAAGATTTTTAGAAGCAAATGGAGCTTATGAGCAGAATATATTTATTGAGGGAAAGAAAGCTCCTGTCTGAGAGAGGGACAGTACAGTGGCCCGAGGGGTTGTTCCGGTGAAGCTGTCTCTTCCCGGGACATTTATAGTGCAAATCCATGTGGGGCTAATGTGGAGAAAGGGGGAACTCACTTAGGTGGATATGGGGTATAAAAAATCTATAGTCAACCAATGGGATTACAAGCACCATTGCTCATTTCTCAAGTAAAATTGATTAAGCCCAGGACCAAATGGGGAAGAGAGTCATGTAGAAAGTGGGCATGAATGTAAAACAGGACCTAATCTGGTAACCATCAGAAACTCATTCTTTCTGGCTTTCTCAGGGTAATGATGAATCGTGGATGGTAATCTTTAGGGAGGTGAGTATTTGTTTGCTCTTTGGTTTTTAGGTCTGGCTCACAGCAGGAACATCTGTCCCTCCCACAGTTGCAAGGTATCTTGTCTTCTGTGTATCTCCTTTCAGCCCTGCCTGACTGCTTATAATATGTCTATCTAATTTGGCTGCCTGCAAGACTATGACTTACCAGTCATGCTTATTGTAGCCATTTAATCCCTCAATATGTTATCAAATAATAGTTGCATAGTTTAATACAGAAAACTGGAAATCAAAAGCTACACATAAAATTTGTGACACTACTGAGTTACAGGATGTTACAATACAGATTATCTTATGTTCTGAGTCCTCACTGACCTTGAAGTGCTGGGGCCAAAATGATGATTATCCTTGTAGTCCTTTTTTTTT